GACACCAAAAACAAAAAAAAAAAACCCTTAAAAAAAAAAAAAAAAAAAAAAAAAAAAAAAAAAAAGACATTAAAAAAAAGACTTGAGTTCCTTTCTTCCACAAATCCTGAATGAGTGCCTACTGTTTGCCAAATGCTCAGATAAATCTCCGCCCTTGTTGAGGGTCCACGAGGCAAATGTAGAACGAGTCGGGGAATGTGGCTCGGTTGGTAGAGTGCCTGCTTGAAGCCTTGGGTTCGATCCCCGGCACTGAATAACCCAGGTGTGGCGGAACACGCCTGCCATCCCAGCACTCAGGAGGCAGGAGGCAGGAGGCAGGAGGGTCGAAAGTGTGAGGTCATCCTCAGCTGCCTAGTGAGTTCGGGGCCAGCCTGTCTCAGAACAACAGAAATGCTTAGAGTTGGATGGTGGACTCCAGTCACCTCTGCTCTGGGTTGTCTGATGCAGGAGGATCACTGTGAGTGATCCAGGCCAGCCTAAGGTACATAGTGAGACCCTAGCTACAAAAACAAAAACAAAACCCCCTCACCTCACTGGGAAAGCAAATCCAAAAAGATGGGCTGCACCTTGCATGGAGGTGGAGAGACGAGGTCCAAAGCAGAAACCGTGGAGGTTTGGGCAGCATGTTTCAAGCGTGTTACAACATGTCACCTTGACGGCTGTGGGTGCCAGCTCCTCTGAGGCCCTGCAGCCTGCTTCTGGGCAGGGGGCCATACCTGCATCTCTCCTGTCCTGGTTCTCTCCTGAGTATCCTGCTGTCCTGGGTTGCCCTCAACAAGGCGGGGCTGTATAGAGAGGGAGGAGGCCTGGGGAGGAGGGCAGGTTTCTTGCCCCCCTTCAGCTGTGACCTTATCTCACCCTGCTCTCTCTGTCTGGCCCTGCTTCCACCCTGTCACCACCGTACTGGGACTGAACCCCAATTGTTATTCAGAATGGTCCCCCAGTGTCCCAGGCGCCTGTCACCCACCTTGTCCTAAATTGACCTTTGTATCTTCCCAGACTAGCCCCTGTCGTTGCTCTTGTCTGGGAAGATGC